CAGCTGTGCTTCAAGAGTAAGCATCTCCCTCTTTTAAGCTCATTTTTGTACACTATCTTGGCCAACTTTGCATGCTTGTTTTGCCACCCTTTCAAACTGTTTTTGGCTTGTTTTTGAACTGAAAAAAACTCTATTTTTCAGTCCTCAAAGTGGTGGTTTAAGCCTTGTTTGGTTAGGGGGTGTTCCCTCCCTTTTGCTCCTTGGCTAGTAAAGCCTTTTGAGCCATCTTTCACCACCTTTCAAACCATCTTTGTTTGGCCTTTTAACCATTGAAATCCAGAGGAATTTCAAAGGTGGAAAGGTAGTTTTGAGGCCCAAAATTGGAGGGGGTGGTCCCCCCTCCTCTTGTCTTGTTAGTATGTATTGTTGGCCTATCAAATGAACATGTATTTCTCCCTTCTTGAGGCTTAGTTTGAGCATATTTTTGTGACTTTTTGGGCCTGCTCTAACTCTGTTTTAGGCTGGTTTGGTTGTTTCTTGCATGCTCCTTACATTTGTAGTGTAAACCTTGTTCACTAGCTTTATATGCTTGCTATTTTAGCGTATAATTCTAGCATGTTTTGGCTCCACTCCAGCACATTTTTTGCCATTATTTAACATGCTTAAACTCTATTTTGTGTTGTTTTGGTCATGCATGCCTTGTTTTGTATAGTCATAGTACATTCTAGCTCACTAGCTTTGTGTTTTGAGTCCACTAGCATGCATTACTTGGGCTATTCACATGATTTGGCATCATTTGATGTGTGATTTCAGTGTATGTAGTGTGGCCATGCCCTTACATCTTTCACTCTTTCAATGCTTTGGAGGGTTGGTGCTTTATGCCTTAAATATGAGCCAATGTGTATGTCTTCTTGCCTAAGCTTTTGAGCTATCATTTCGGTGTGTTTATGGTGTTATTTTGCCATGATACAACTCTAATTTTTGTTGGTAAAGTCATCTCATGCTTGGTTTTGGTAGGTGTAGAGTAATCATGCTCATTAGCCTAGCTTACTTGATGTTTTGGCTTACCATGCTAGCTTGTTTTGGCTACACTCCGTGCATGTTTTAGCCTTGATTTGACATGCTCTATGATTGTTTTGGGTTGTCTTGGCCATATGGTTCATGTATTGCATAGCTGTAGTGCAATGGGCTTGACTAGCCTTGTGTTTTCATGCCTCTAACATGCCATACTTGTGATAGTTGCATGTCATGACATCATTTATCATGATATTTTAGAGCATATAGTATTGCCTTGTTCTCACTTCTTTCACTCTTTGAGCGCTTTTAAGGGTTATGCCTTTGTGCCTCATTTATGGGCCAATGCGTATGCATGCATGCCTAGACTTTTGAGCTCCCATCTCAACATGTTTTGGTCTTTGTTTTGACCTACTTGAGCTCTGTCTATGGTTGATTCAATCATTTGTGCCATGTATTGCACGCCTCTAGTGTAGTCCTTTTTGGTAGCCTTGTGCCTTAGGCCTTCTAACATGCTATCTTTGAGCTATTTGGATGATTTAGCATCATTCCACACCTGATTTCAGAGCATATAGTGTTGTCACACTTCCATGTTTATCACTTCTTAATCATGTTTGAGAGTTGTGCTCTTATGCTTAGTTGATGGGCCAATGCATGAGCATACATTATCTTGCTTTTCTTGCCATCATTTCAGAGTATTTTGGCCATTGTTATGTAGCCTCATAGGTCTGTCCATATTCGGTTTAAGTCCATTGAGCATCGTATTGAATGCCTCGTGTGTAACATGTTTTACTAGCTTTGATGCATTAGCTTTTAAACATGTCATACATGCATTGTCCATATGATAGAATCTTGTGCATGCATTGTTTGCATTATAGAATCTTGCGCGTGCCATAATAGCATTGGTAGAATTGCATTTTGTTTGCATGTTGTTGCATTGCATTGTGTTTGCATGCCATTAGCATTGATAGGTTGATCATGCTTATGTTGTGTTGCATTGTGTTTGGATAGGGTGTTAATCCAAACACGAGAAACGAGGGGCGTTTCATACTTGAAGTGATGAAACGTGCCTCATTTGTTGGTCGCCAACCCTCTTGATCAGGCATGATAGAGGTTAAGGCCTTTATATGTTATTTGTGCATTCATTTACATTGAATTGTGCAATCTTGGCTTCTCGGCCATCGTGCATTGCGATGCTCAGTTGGTGGCCCGAGAGTCGAGTATTGCACTTCCTTGAGCTTAAGAAATGATAGGGAGGGTGGTTGTGCACACATACCTTGCAAATACACTGTTGTGCCCCTTCTTGTTCTCTATTGCAGTAAACTGGAGTTGGGCAGCATTTTCTAGTTGGCAGACCAGTAAAAGTGGCTGGCCGACCACTTTTTCTGGTCTGCAGCATGTGTAAGTGGTCTACACCACCATTAAGTGGTCGGCAACCTTCCTGGAGGTCTCCAAGTTGAAGTAGAAGCTATCTGGAGCTTTGTGCAGTGTTCTAAGATCAAATGCAAACAGAGGCAAGTTGGGGCATAGCGATGGATTTCCGAGCGAGGCGATCGAACATGCATACACTTCTCGCCCCGAGGCTCCTCTTTTACTGCTTTACTTAGCTAGCTAATGCTTTGGTTTTTTACTTAATTAGTTAACGCGCTTAACTAATCAATTTGTATTGTAATAACTAAGTAGTTAACTAGGATTAGTTAATTAGTTTTGATTTGTAATAATTAGTTTAATTAGTTTTGATTTGCAATAATTAGTTTAATTAGCTTAGATTAGCTAGTTAGCTTATTATTCGGACCCTCTGTCGAGAGGGCGAATTTTGTAATAAGTGTGCGTGTGTGTGTAAATGTCTTCCAACCCCACGTCTTTCTCCCTTTTATTTATCAGCTTTTGATGGTTAGTTTTAGAGCATGTTTCAATTAGCATACTTATGTTTGCATGCGTGCATCATTCATTTTGTCTTGCATGCACCGGGTTCGGCGCATCATTCAAACTGCATTGTATTTCAATACACTTTACTTGAATACGTGTTTAACAGCATGTTATCAAGTGTTGCATTCATATGCCATTTTACATAGCCGAACCTATTTTTGCTGCATTTTTGCGTGTGTTGCATTAAGCATTGTTAACATAGTTAGAATCATGCATTGATTACTAACTAGCTTCTGTTTTGGCTTGGAGTACACTGTGAGTGTTTATGCTTTGGTATCCTTGCATGTGTGTAAGTGACTGCCATGATAGCATGCTTACTACGAGGCTACGTGCTTAAATGATTAACTGCATGAATGCTTGTGGATGAAGGCTTCATTGCCTGAATTGGAACAACTCTATGATTGTGAGTTTTAAGCCCACTTAAAGTGACAAAATCATGTTTTTTTAAGCCCACTTGAGAGTGGCAAATCCGCGACTTAGCCTACTTGCGAATAGCATTTTCAAACCACTTTCAAAAACAAACACGAGTTGTTTTGTTTCAATCCGCGTGATTGAGTCTATACTTGTATGCTGTGCGCATCACATAGTAAGGTTAGCTAATAAATCGGAATAAGAACACGTGTTTTCAAAAACAGCATATCATGTTGGTAAAGGCCAATCTTTGATCGGGCGAGCGGAAGTGCTCATTTCAGAACCTTCCCCTCTCGTACCCAAGTTCCCGAGCTGAGGCAACTTTGGTGATGACGAACACGTGGCCTTAGGCACGAGTCAGGGTTTCCTAAATTTTTCCAAAATAAAATATTTAGATGGCGACTCTGAAATCTGGCAAAGTAGTCTATGTTTGGCGCTTTTTTATTCAAAATTGATTTTCCAAAACCAATTGCCAGATTCGGACTCTTCGGTGATTTGTCAGTCTTACATTGCACTTTGTGAGATTAGATTCAGAACCATGACAGGAATCTAAACTATAGTAGCTAAAACTACAATTCGCGCCCTCGCGCGCGGAGCGGAGTTCAGGCGGTCTACAGTAAGGGACCAAAATAACAATGTGTCCCAAATTATAGGGATCGCTAGTGTAATTCACCCATAATAATAACAATCTATACTATTATATATGTGAAAGGTAGAGCCAGTATTGACATCTCATAGTATAAATTTTTTAAAATACTCATGAAACTCAAAATTAAGACCTTGAATCTGATAATATGTGTGCGCCTTCCTTCTAGTAAGAATAAAAGACAAGTAAATGTCTTTAAATAATAATATTCTAATTGAATTAGGTTCTGTTTAATTGTGACTTAAAAAGTGATCTAAAATTAAAGTTCAATTCGGTTTGAGCCCATGACATATGTTGCGAAAGGAAATTAGGTTCATTATTCTCGACGTTCGTTAAACTAGGTTCATAATTGAATTATGTTCATTATTCTCTAGATTTTGAAAATTATTAATTTTTTCATCTCATAAAAATATTTAAAAATAAAAAAAAATCACTGAAAAAAAAAAATCAAAGTTTCCAAACGGACAATATTGTGCTTAAAAATTGAAGGAACCAGAAGAACTGAAGCCAATCAACTATTTAATCTGCTTATTATTTTTTTATGTATGCATTAGAATCTAGTTAGTCATTGCAAACAGTACTAAGATTACAACCATTACATGGGATACATGGTAGCGTTTGAAGGAACACAACAAACCAGTACCAAAAGCCCACACCAAAGAAAGCGAGTTACACCACAAAAAACACTTAAATGCAAAACACTGAAGTGTTCTGGATTTTAGTTTAAACCCATTTTAGTTTGGTTTGGTTTGTTTGGTTTTGATGGGGAGATTTTAAGGGCACTTGGTCTTGTTAGCATGAGTGGTCATGTCTGTGTAACAATTTCCACACAATTGTCTGTTGCCTACTGTACAGGAGGGGTGATTATTCAGTATTATCGTTATATAAACGCGTGATATTTTATAAAGTTTTAATTGGTAGAAAGGGATAGGAATTCACGATTTATGTTAAGGGATCAAAAAACAACATGGGGGCTAAGTAATTGTGATTGACTTAGAATATAATTATGTGGTATTCCGAGATTATTAAATAATTTTTCAAAAAGGAGGGACACACTTACACCACTCGCAGCACGTGCCACATGCCCTGATGCACACGTTTGGCCTTGAATGCAACCTACACCTTTCCTTGCACAGCCCTTCAGAGTCTGCCAAAACAAAACCCACCATTTGCAAGGGAACCCCCCATTATGTTAAAATTTCGCTCCCAAAAAAAAAATAAAATTAGAAAAATTTGCTCACAAAAAACCCATATGTTAATTAAATGTATATATTAAGTTTGTATTATTTGTTAATTAGATGTATAATATATGGAAAATTTTAGTATACACACCACTTGAAAATGGTGCACCATATGCACCCCTTGAAAGGAGTACACAATTATGTTATTTTCTTCTTAAGTGATGTCAATTTTTTTTTTTAATTATGACTTACAAGATTTTTGATTATGTGTCATGTGGTGTTTGGTTATGAATTTTATTTTATTTTATTTTAATTATGACTAAGAAAGTATAGAGTTGCATCATTTTATTCTTTAGTTATAAGGTGTATATGATACACAGCTTTAAAGTATATGTACCATAATTTTTCTCATAATATAAAATCTTTACAATTAAAAAGCAGCTACCTTTAAAAAAGACAAATTATATGGATGATATGATCATGTCAGAACCTTCCCTAACAAAAATATATAGGGTTGGTTTAGCATGAAGATTTGGTTTATGTTGTGATTATTTTAATCACAAAAAGATAGAATAAGTTTTTTTAACTTAATGAGACAAAATGTCACAGTCAAATTATAATCATTTCACTTATTTTCTCACAAAAATCAAAAAAGTTAAAAAGCTCATCTCAAACGAGACTTTTTAACCCCAGATTAAAATAACCAAAAAGTTAAAAAGTCAACCCATATCCTAAACGAAAGCATAACTTATTTTCACTAAAATAATTTGTAACATTTAATTACACAAATAATTTGTAATATTTATATTTTATTGTTTATAACATAACAAATGGTTTGTAATTTGTATTGTAGTGGGAGTGTACAATAGTTTTACACAATAGTTTCATCTATTGATAACTTTCACACAATAGTTTCTTTTATATGCACAGAAAGCAATCACAACACTGAATACAATCTCACATGAATATAAAATTCATCTAATATGAAAATGAAAATGTTGTGTCTGGCTCTATATTTAATTTTTATATTCTTAACTTTTCTTAGCACAAAGTGGCATAAACACTACACAGTAGCTAAAAATAGAGCATCTTTGTTGTCTATGAAATATACATATAGAGTGAATATATTAATTTGATAAAATTTAAAGGGCAAATTTCTTGAATAGTCCTATAATTTTGACCGAGTTTCGCTTTGGTCCTTATCGTTTTAAAGGGCAAATCATTTGAGATGGATCTCAAAACACCCCTCCATTTGGTCTGAAATGAAATGATTAAGAATAACTATTCACTTAGAATGGCGAATAATAATTTCATATAAATGTATTTTTTACTATTTTTTTAATCCGTCAAATATAAGAATAAATATTTTGATGAAATAATGATTCTCTATTTTCATTCTGTTCCTATGAACCAAACATTAATCGAATAAAATTAAATAGAATCATCATTCTATAAAAAAATTGCATTTCCATGTTTGGTTTGACTAAAAAGATAATAAAAAATGAAATCACCATTCTTCATCCTAAAAAAATAATCCTCCTATAAGAGAGACAAAGAAATAATCATTTTATTCAATTCCATCTTATTTTAGTGAACTAAATAGAGCAAAATCCCACCAGCTTCCTGTTGGACAATCTTCACTGTATTTAAAAGGATTTAATTCTGTTGTGTACAAAACAACAACAAGAATAAAAGAAATAGAGTAAAGGAGAGAATATGTTTGATTACAAAAATCAAACTCGAAATAAAAATAAATCAAACACACAGAGAGAGAGAGAGAGAGAGTACCCAGGAATGGCAAAAGCCTTCTGTTAGCTCCTTTCATCACCTGAAATTGAACCAAGTACACGAACATATATATATATAATAGAGATGTTTCAAAACACTATAAAAAAAACAAATATAGCTTAAGAAACAGTAGCAAACTAATTAAAATATGAAGAAGGTTGCAGTGGTTATGGAATGAAACCTGGGTTTGGAGGTGGTCTTCAATCTCAGCATCAGATGATACGTGCACTCACACAACACAGCACTCACCATTTTTAACTTAACAAACATGTACGGTTGAGATCTACAAAACTACAAAGCTCTATTTTTATATTTTATCAAGGGGTTGGGTTTGAGAAGCAAATAGAGAAAAGACTGGTTCTGGGTAGTGGATAGTCTCTTATACCTGGGTAATGCAGAAGAGTAAAACCGCCATTAGATAGAGCCAGCGTGACTCCATTCAACCACCACCACTTTCACAGAGAGAGAGAGAGAGAACTACGTTGGGAGCTTCGGAAGCCCACGTTTAAAACAGGTTATTTTAGTAATCTTTTTTTTTGATTATTTAGCTAAAATATAAGTTAAAAAAAAATTGTATATTTAAAATGACTTTTTGATTTTTTATGAAAAGATATATAAAAAGTAGAGAGAAAAGAGAATCTTTGACTTTTTTGTATGAATTATTAATTTTTTGACTAATTTAATAACTTTTTGACTTTTTAACTAAAAAGAAGGGTTCCCAAACGAGGCCTAAGTTTACATCTTATTGGGTTTTGTTAACAAATATTAAGGCCAGGTGTTAAAGAATATATTAAATCATATTAAGGGTTGGTTTGGAAAGTCTAAAAAAAAATTAATTCATGTTAGCAAAAATAAAATTAATTCATGTGGTTTTTAACAATCCAAACAAAATTAATTTTGGTCCAAAAATTAATTCATGTTAATTTAGTGTGGTTCCTTCAAGTTCAATGGGTTAATTTTTAAACAGCTCTGCTACAGAGCCCGAAAGGGTTTCGAGCCAAATTTGGCTCGAATTTGAGAAGGAGGAAGAAGAAGAAGAAGAAGAAGAAGAAGAAGAGAATGAGGAAGAAGAGAAGGAGGAGCAGAACTGGAGGGGGCCCTAAAAATAGGGCTGGAGGCGGAAGCGGAGGGAGGCGGAGGTGGAGGCGGGTGGAGGCAGAGGCAGAGGCAAAGGCAGAGGTGGAGGCGGAGGCAGAGGCGACGATCGGCCGACGACCGACGAGCTACGACGATTGGCCGACGACCGACGACGAGCTCCCACCTCTCCCCTCTGTTTCTCTCTCTCGCCTCTGCTTCTCAGGTTCAAAACAAAGAAGAAGAAGAAGAAGAAAAGAAAGAAGAGGAAGGGGAAAAAAAAAAAAAATCAAAACCCAAAACGACGTCGTTTTGGGTTTTGAGCCACATTCGGACCACTAATTTCGGGTCCTAAAACATTATTCATTTTTAAATCCCAAATAAAAATTTAAATTTAAATCTAACTTTGTGAAAGGGTTTATCTGCTTCTGTGTTGTCATCATGTCATCAATTTGACAAGATAGAAATAGGAATTCGAGATTTCACAAAAAATAAAAAAATAAAAATTATCAAGACCTCAGTTAACAGGAATTCGAGATTTCACAAAGATTATTAGAATTTGTGAAAGGGTCATCAGAACCTCAGTTTAACAAAAAAAAAATTCAAAAAAAAAAAGAAAATAGCAGAATTTACAGAACCTCAGTTACAAAAAATTCACAAGTCCAAAAAAAATTATCAGAACTTCAGTTTCCCAAAAAAATAAAAACATGAAGGAGAATCAATTATAAAAATTATCAGAATTTGTAGTTTAAAATAATAAAAAAAATACATGGAGGTTTTTGGCGTAATTTCCATGGCAGAACAGTGGGTTTCTCATATGCCAAACAACAAATAAACATACAAAAAAATTGGAGGAAAATTTTTAAGCACCCACAATAATGGCTTTTATAGATGAACCCACCAGATCAGGTTGAAGGATACGGATTTACGCGCAAAAAAAATAAATAAAAACAAAACAGAAAAGCAACCAGTATTTGACGATCGGTGGTGTTTCAGACGGTGAGTTCTTCTTCGACGCCACAGATGTGCACTTTGGTGGCGTTCGGCTTTGGCAAGCTTCGCGAGTCTTCTTCGACGCCGATGATGTGTACTCCAGTGGTGATCGGCTTTGGCAAGCTTCGCGAGATATCTTCACTGTTCAACGTCAGCGAATCGCCTCCTTCGCTTCAGCGTGTCCATGTGCCCTAGAAAATTTCAATGTTGTGTGTGGAGTGAGGCGATGCTGGTGTGAATCAGAGTGGGAGAGGGGATAGTTTGATAAATTTACCCTAGCTTGGGTTGTGTGTAAGCACCTGAATCAATTTTCTCTGGTAGTGGCTAATTTAGCCTTTTTTGGACGGTAGTGACTAATTTATCCCAAACCCGTCTTCCGAGACGGTGCCTAATTGATTTCATTATCATAGAAACTTAAAAAAATTGTCCATGTGCCCTAAAAAATTTCAGTGTTGTGTATGTGGAGTGAGGCGGTGCTGGTGTGAATCAGAGTGGGAGAGGGGATAGTTTGATAAATTTACCCTAGCTTGGGTTGTGTGTAAGCACCTGAATCAATTTTCTCTGGTAGTGGCTAATTTAGCCTTTTTTGGACGGTAGTGACTAATTTATCCCAAACCCGTCTTCCGAGACGGTGCCTAATTGATTTCATTATCATAGAAACTTAAAAAAATTATAAATATTATATCATTAGAGAATTACTTGTCATTTTCTATAATTGCATCTATTTTTATATAATTTTCATAATGAAATTTTATTAAATATTTTTTTATCATGACATTAAATGCACTTGATTTTTATAAATGACATAAATTACTTTTTCTTTAATTTTTAAATTTGTTTGGGGTGTCTTATATATGTACACTTTTTATCTTTTTATTTTTTTGGGTCATATCACCTCTCTACTTTTCTGCATATCTTTTTGTAAAAAGTTAAAAAGTGTACTTATTTAGATCATTCAAAAAGTACACTTTTTTGTAAAAATGAAAAATCAATATTAAAAATGAAGTGTAATAAAAATGAATCTAAAAATTATAAAAAAATATTTTAAAAAAATCAATATTAATCAGCAAAGGAATTTTATTTTTAAGCCTTTGTTTGTGATGTGGGTTGACTTTTTAACTATTAGCCTAGGGCTAAAAAGTTTCGTTTATGATAGACTTTTTGACTTTTTTAACTTTTGTGAGAGAAAAAATAAAATGATTATGATTTAAATGTGACATTTTGTTTTATCTGGCTAAAATAGCCAATTTTGTCCTATATGACTATTTTAGCCCATATGGGTATGCCAAACATAGCCTAAATAACATTTTTTAGATTTTTTTTTTAATTTTTAAATATCCTTTATTTTCTATTATAATTATATTATATGGTGTATGAAAAACGAATCTAGAAACTATAACAAATATAAAAAATAAAGGGTATTTAAAAAAAAAATTAAAAAATCAAGAAATGTCATTCAAAAATAAAAGGGCATTCACCTTTATAATAAAAAATGTTCAAAAAAATATTCCATTATTAAAAGTATCCAAAAATATTAAAATAGAGAGAATTAAGAAAAGAATAGTTTGGTCTTTAACAATATAACATTTATAACATAAACAATTTTTTATGATAATGGGGTTAATTAAGATGATTTAATGCATCCCTAATAAGTGGCTTAATGGAACTAAGTGGTGATACATGCACCAATTAGTGTACTAATTAGTGTACCAACACTAGTTATGACATTATTATTGACTTTACTTATTATACAAATTACAAATATCAAAAATATCTTAAATTATTTTACATTATCAATTGGTATGCACTAATTGGTACATATAGCATTAATCTAACGGAACTTATTAACAAAATCCTAATTTATTTATAATCAATGAAAATAATATAGAAATCTACTTTCTAAATTCACTTTTTTATGTCTAGTGACGTATAAAAAAAAAAAGGACAATTTCATATAAGTGATGTTAGTGAAAATTAATTAGATATTAATAAAAATAATTATAATTATATTTATTAATATTTATAATATTTCTTACCCTTCTGTAATTATTTTTCCTGACATCCACTCACAAATTATTTTCCCTAAAAAAAAAAAAATTGACAAATTATTAGAAAATATATGAGAGATAGAGTTATTTTATATGAGATTTTTTTTTTTCAAATCCTTGATATTAAGATCTTATAAGATAAATGACGTGCAATATTTTTATAGTAGTTGGAGTCCTTCAACATTTTCATAAAGAAATTTCACCTTGACACAGAGAAATTTTAATTTTCACAAAGAAACTTTAAAAAACTTTATGATTTCACAGAGAAATTTATAAATTTCTCTAATACGATCACAGAAAAATTTTATCGAGGGATCTTTTCTAATAAAAAAAAAATTAGATCTCTCATACTATCCAAAATTGAAGAAAGATGTTTCACTAATTTTTTTTATTTTATATATTTTAATTTCTAATATATTGCCACATTATTAAATTTAAAAATTATGTATAATTTTTAAGGGTTTTTTTTTTAAGGTCCCTGATATTAAGGTTGTATAGCATAAAGGACATTCAATATTTTCATAATGTCTAAGGTCCCTCAACAATATTTTCATAATGCCTAAAGTCCCTCAACTTTGATCTAGAGAAATTTCAGTCTAGAGAAAATTGGTCTAGAGAAATTTCAGTCCAGAGAAAATTGGTCTAGAGAAATTTCAATCTAGAGAAAATTAGTCCAGAGAAATTTCAATCCAGAGAAAATTGGTCCAGAGAAATTTCAGACCAAATTTCTCTGGAAAGTCTAATTATTCTTAGAATTTCTCTGGCTCAATTCTTCCTAGAATTTCTTAGCATTTCTCTAATGCATTGGCTTAGTCCAGAGAAATTTTGAATTTCTCTGGTCCAATTCTTCTCAGATTTTTCTGGCCCAATCCTTCCTAGAATTTCTCTAATGCATTGACTGACTGGAGAACTGGTTGATGGAGAAAATTCAATCCAGAGAATTTCTCTCCAGAAAAACTTCTGAAAATTTCTCTGGATTTCGAAATTTCTCTCTAGAGAAATTCTCTGGATTCTCTGTCTGTGTTTTAACCAAATTTCTCTGGATTTCAGAATTTCTCTCCAGAAAAATTCTTATACCAAGGCTTCTAGATCTCAATAGTTACATCCAAGGCTTTAACTTACATCTGGAGAAATGGTCTTTAACTTACATGACTGATAACTTACATTCTCTGTAGTATCATGGCTGGATTTCTCTCCGGATGGTCTTTAACTTACATCCAAGGCTTCTAGATCTCAACAATTGAACCAAAAGGTACAGAGAAGAAAAAAAGTATCTAAAATCAAGGCTCTACCATAAAATATATATATATATATATATAATAGAAATTTCGAATAAGCAACAACAAAGAGAGAGAGAGAGAGAGAGAGAGACCTGGTGAGAGATAGCGTAACAGTGGAAAGAGAAGTGAGATCGGGAGCGGAAGGAGGAGATTGACACCGGCGGTGGCGATCTATCTTCTTGAGTAGATTTTAGAGCTTCATCGATGCAAACTTTCATCTGCAGAGTTCCAAACTAGGTTGGAGGAAGATAAAGAGGCAACTCTGTTTATAAACCACTCAGAAACCTCTCGCCAACGAAGCCGACTCCGTTCCCCAGGGCCACGAAAATGTCACTACTTTGATTGAGTTCTTTCAAGCAGACGGTAGGTGTAATATAAGGGTACGGGGTGAGGGACCTTAGACTACAACAGAACAGATTGTGGACCTAATCCATTACTAAAAGTTGGATTAGTAAAGAAAAATTATTAAGTCTTTTAGGAGTATTATGCATTTGTATTACGGAAAATGCTATGGATCCCAAACAAATTATATATATATATATATATATATAATAGAAATTTCGAATAAGCAACAACAAAGAGAGAGAGAAAGAGAGAGAGAGAGAGAGACCTGGTGAGAGATAGCGTAACAGTGGAAAGAGAAGTGAGATCGGGAGCGGAAGGAGGAGATTGACACCGGCGGTGGCGATCTATCTTCTTGAGTAGATTTTAGAGCTTCATCGATGCAAACTTTCATCTGCAGAGTTCCAAACTAGGTTGGAGGAAGATAAAGAGGCAACTCTGTTTATAAACCACTCAGAAACCTCTCGTCAACGAAGCCGACTCCGTTCCCCAGGGCCACGAAAATGTCACTACTTTGATTGAGTTCTTCCAAGCAGACGGTAGGTGTAATATAAGGGTACAGGGTGAGGGACCTTAGACTACAACAGAACAGATTGTGGATCTAATCCATTACTAAAAGTTGGATAGGGACCTTAGACCGATTTTCCCTAATTTTTAAGTTATTGCAGCACTGTAAGTTAGTAGTGGGTATCAAAGCAAATATTTTTCCATGCCATTTTAAAAATGGACTGATTTATTGCAGTTTTTTTTTTTCTAATTAAAACTTAATATAAAAAGTTAAAAACATTCCCCTCGTAATAATTAATTTTGTTAGGTTATCTAAATTAGCATCATAAATGAAAATTGTATAAAAAATCCTACCCTTCCTCACCCTTGCAGTAGCATTCCACACCCTTCTCCGACTTTCCAGAGGAAAGACGGGGTTCACAACTGATGTAGCATGTATCATTATACAATTTTTGGATCAAAGGATAGGCAAAGCAAAGGCAAATCACGGGTCGATTTTAGAATTGCATGAAATTTGGTAGGTTGATGAAAAACGTAATATTAAGCATGATCCATGGACACCAGTGGATTTTGGATTCCATCATTTGGGTGATCAATTTGGCGAATTTGTCGTTTTTGAAAAGATTTAAATCTTTTCATTACTTCTAGCACAAGTCTCGGAATCTGATTCTGTAAAATCTACCATGATCGTGGAAACATATATTAGTGTTTCTTTATTTTATTGCAATATTTTTATTTTTGATAATTTTCGTTATATTTTCTTATTTTTGTATTGATCATAGCGAAATTGTCCATTCTAGTTGTTTCCTATTAAGTTAGGTCTGTCTTTACTTATAAATATTGAATGCAAGCCTTAGGGTTCTTTAGGTTTTTAGTATTAATATATTTTGAGTTTTATACTATTTTAGTCTAACTTTGAGTATTCTTTGTGAATCAATCATTATTGAGTTTTTATTTTCGATATTTTTTTGTAGAAAACAGTCTTGTTTCTAGTATTGAATTTTTAATTAATAAATTTTAAAATTATTATTATTTCGCATTTCGCACCGCATCAACAATGGTGGTAGTGGCTACTGGTGGTGATGATGGTGGCTAGTGGTGTTACTGTTAATGTTTTGTTTTAATGTTTTATTGAGAAAAAAAATAATAATAAATCTTTTTTAATCTAGTATTTCATTATAGAATGACTGATGCAAATGTTGATAAAAAAATATTAGAAATTTTAAAAATTCTATCAAAATTTTTACTAAATATCTTACATAGATGTAGGACTTACATGAGACCTACATGGTGTCGGTCCTACACTCATATAAATATTTAGTAAAAATTTTAATAAATTTTTTGAGATTTCTAACATTACTCAGGTTGATATCCAAACATGAATATCATGGCTGCTGTGATGCTAAGGAAAGGCATACAGACAGAGACTCCTCTCCTCCATTACTGAGTTGAGATCATCTCCTTGGATTTTTCCTTGCCCCCTTATTTGCAATGGTGGAAATGTATCTTAAGTTGATCAGAAAGAGTACACTACTACCAACTTACCAAGTACCAACAACCACCCCATCACATTCCTGGCTTGTTTAGAATTATCTAGATAAGTATATTTTTAACATTTTATAAAATAAAAAAAAAATGTAAAAACAATAAAAAGATGATATGATCTAAAAAAGATTTAAAAAAAAAATGTGCTTATATAGAACACCCCAAACAAGTTATAATTACTCCATATTCACCATCCATTAATGTCCATCCCAACTGTTATCCCCATTGATTAAAGACCATTTGGTTTGTGTTTTGAAGAAAAAAAATTTAAAAAAAAAAATTGGAGAGAGAGTTTAGAAAAAAAAATTTGGTTTGTTTAGTTGTATATTTTGAAAATAATTTTGGAGTTTGGGAGTTTAGAATGATTTGATATTTTTTTATAGTTGAGTAGAAGTGATGAGAGAAAAAGTGATTGAGAATGAGAGATGAGAGAAAAAGCGATTGATTTATGTGTAGGAGAGAGAAAGTGATTTTGGAATTTTTTTTAAAAAAAATTTGAACCGAACAATATTTTGAAATTTTTTCTCGAAAATTGTATCTTGAGATACAAACCAAACAAGCCCTATAACTCTTTGCCTTTATATGGAGAATTTGGTCAAAATTTTCTCATACTAAAATTTTAATACATTAATAATAAGTATAAATTTTTTTAAAAAAATTCAATATATATCACTATTATCAAAATATTTTTAGTGAGTAATTTAATATTTTAAATTTTAAAATGATATATAATTTTTGATCTATATGTCGGTTTTTAATAAAATTAACATTTTTAAAATTCTCTCATTAAGACCTATCAAATAAGATGCAGGTTGACGAAATTAACATAAACATTACATTTTACTCTATTTCACAATAAAATGTTACTAACTACCAGAGTAAATTTTTACCATCTTCTTAAACTGAGCATTAAAACAGAGTATAAACTAAAGCTCTACGAGTTCTTTCCTTACGAGTTTACAAGCAAATCAACAACAACTCAACATACGAGAAGGAAACTCTACATATAACAATCAATAATCAACAAACTCAACAAATTAATCAAAAAAACACTCGTAACAAATTTCAACCAAATATCTCATACGGACATGAGACTCACACAATGCGGGTCTCACATCCATGTAAGACATTTGGTAAAAAAATTTATAGAATTTTTTAACATTTTTGTAAATTAATATATACATTATATTGCAAATATACAGTTACGAATAATCTAGCTAGTATATATTTTCTTTGGGCGTGGCTTCTGTCCAGTCCTTAATCAGACTGGACCGTGTTGTTGGGCCCGTGGGGGCCCACCACGAGTCCCGTTTTGATAATCTGAACCGTTGAATGTGTAGAACTCGTCGAGTACTATATGCTTGTAAAAAATCACGTTAATCGAATATCGATAGTTATGTGATCAAATCAGTTTTGTATAAAAAAAAAATGGACGGCAAATAAATTAACGGTTGACAAAATTCTGTTTTGATCACATAGCTATTGATATCCGACCAACGTGATTTTTTACAGGCATATAGTACTCGACGAGTTTTACACATTGAATGGTTTAAATTATCAAAACGAGACCCATGGTGGACCTCCATAGGTCCAACAACACGATCCAGTCTGATTAAAGACTGGACTGAAGCCATGCCCATTTTGTTTATAGGTAACACTATCCTAAATTTATACAACGACAACGGCAGGATTGATTATTTTTAGATATAGATCTTTCTTTCTTTTTTTTTGGATAAAAATTCTCCCATAATAAAATTTTAATGTATTAAAGAAAAGCACAAAAAAAAAAAAAATCTTAAAAAATCCATCACATATCATTAATATCAAAATATTAAACTTTAAAATAATATTACTTTTGATGTAGATGTCAATTTTTAATAAAATTAATATTTTTTTATAATTTTCTCATTAAAATCTATCAAATGTAATTCATGTTGACTATGAAATTCTTAAAATAAAAAAATATATATTATTATCGTCAAAATTGATGTAAATAATAACAGTAACATGCGACTTTGTTTGATAATAATATATTACTCTAATTCATAATAACATGTTACTCTGAAAATATTATTCAAAACAAAATTTTAATATTTTACTTTATCCTTAATTATATTTTTTCTCCTTAAAAAATTTATGAAACAAAATAAATTGAACCGTCATTTTTACCAAATAAATATATTTTTAGAATGATGTGATGTTTAAAGTGGCCGGATCAATGATTAATCCCCAAAACACATCTGTTAATAAATTAATGATTTTTCCTTAACACAGCTGGTTATTTTAGTGGATTTTGTTTGTTGTTATAATTTTAATAAGTTTTCGTGTTTGGTCCTTTGTTATTGTTATTGTTCTGTATGATGTCAACTTTTTTTTATATAATTGCTTTATAACTTTTCTCAATATATAGAACCAAACTGAATAATTTGAACAACCATCAGCTGATAATTGCTTTACATCATCAGCACGCTAAATGTAATAAAGATCAAAAACTAATTTTAACCTGCATCAATATCACTAAAAACAAAAAACAAAAAACAAAAAACAAAAAACAAAAAAAAAAGCTAACTACGATCTCTCACCGCCAAAATTTCTCGTGTTCACTCAGTTGATGGATGCCAAATAATAAATTAACAAGGTAACACTAGCCCGAAGAAGAATGAAAAAAAAGAATAGCCTGTTTCCAACATATTGAATACATTTCATTGAAACTGTTCAGAAAAAAACGCTGACTTCTTTTTCAGTCATCTCGTATACATGGTCTCTTGCATCTGTTAGAGCACTCTGCATGATATGTTCAACTTTATTTTAGATATAGCAGTACACTAAAATCATCACACCACCAAAGAAAAGAAGAAAAATGAAAAAACTCGACGAGCCATAATCCATATTCCAGCCACTTGGCCACGGGTATCTGTCGCCTCTAGCTCTACGCAATGGGGCATTTGGATTTCTTTTCTTCTTTTCTTTTTTTTTTAAAAATAAAATAAAATTTCCCCAGGGGTGATAAGTGTCTCGGGCCAGGCTGGGAGGAGAGTTAAAAAATGACAAAAAGGGAAATGAACAAGGAAAAGCATGTCAAAAAAACAAAAACAAAACAAAACAAAACAAAACAAAACAGAAAAACCTGTCCCAATTTGGTAAGGAAGTTGCTGGCAAGATTTAGACTTGTGATTCTCACATCCTCATTAGCTTTCAGTGCTTGGGCAATGGCAAAGGCCCCTTCGTCCTGTATGCAGAACCGAAGTGAAAGGGTTTAACAAGATAATTAACTTGAACAAAAAATTGAAAGGGTAAACAATTCCATACTCTTTTTTTTTAAAAATAAAATAAAATTTCCCCAGGGGTGATAAGTGTCTCGGGCCAGGCTGGGAGGAGTTAAAAAATGACAAAAAGGGAAATGAACAAGGAAAAGCACGTCAAAAAAAAACAAAACAAAACAATACAAAACAAAACAGAAAAACCTGTCCCAATTTGGTAAGGAAGTTGCTGGCAAGATTTAGACTTGTGATTCTCACATCCTCATTAGCTTTCAGTGCTTGGGCAATGGCAAAGGCCCCTTCGTCCTGTATGCAGAACCGAAGTGAAAGGGTTTAACAAGATAATTAACTTGAACAAAAAATTGAAAGGGTAAACAATTCCATACTCGTATTTCATTAAACCCTAAATTGAGGGTAGTCAAAGCTTCATTGACCACTTTCAAGCTTTGAGCCAGACGGATGGCACCCTGCAAAAACACACGAATCAGAGCAGTCAATATGTTGCGGATGTCGTTGAATGTTATACATCATTATCTACAGAAACAAACATCATCTCGAAGTCCATTGGCTCGCAAGTCCAGAGTTGATATGGTAGAGTTGTATTTCAGAGTGTCAGCTATGAACTCTGCACCCTTTGCTCCTATCTGCAAAATATTCCCATATCATATTCAGAAACTAATACAACACGATGCAGGCAGTCATAATCTAGAAATTACCTGACACCAACCAAGACTGAGGGTCTTTATATTTCCATGAAACTTAAGAACTTCAGATAAAGCTTTTGCTCCATCTGGTCCAATTGGATTGTAACCAATTTCCAACTGTCACAGAGAGAGAGAGAGAGCTGTTTACCGCTGTTTGCAAAAGTGAAATACAAGAAAAGGTAGAAAAAGCAGAATGCTATTGGAACACTCACACTGGTAATGACAGAATTATCTTTGAGAACTTGAGCTATGTCACTGGCCCCCTTTGCATGGATGTTGTTCCCCCCCTACAAAGTCCTCCCCATTCAGTGTTTTAGAAGTTGGGTCGTTGAATTTTATTTCTGAAAATCAAAAGTTTGCTTTCAATAAAGATGAAACCCTCAATTCTCACCAGATCTATGTTTGTTACTGTTCGATTCTGCTTCAAAGCCTCAGCAATTTTCTCTGCTCCCTGAAAGATTTCAGGACAAAAAATCAATAAGCAAGTCACGCAAGTATTTGACTGAAGGCATGGGTCTAAAACTGAACTAATCCGACTAGCTAGACCATGACATTTACAAATATTTGATGAAGAACATGGGTCTGCAACAATTTGAGCAGTTTGGTTGAATCACTTCTATAGACACTCACAAATTTCATCCTGAGGAAATCTAAACTGACCACTTAAAAAAGGAGTGACCTCCATCTTACAATCCAATATAAAATACTTCAAAATTTTCAGTGCACAGTTTGCATGCTCAGAAGTTACGAAAGAAAAAATAATCAATAATTTAAAATGGCCTTTAATAGTATGATTTCAGTTTCTTTTCAGGAATACCACAATCTACTTGATCTCATTTGAAACTTAAGAAGCTAGGCAAGGAAAGGAAAATGCCCAAAATTGCGCCTAGAAAGGAAGCTACTGTAAACATTGTCGAGAATTTTCCTAAGCATTCCTTGATCTTTCTAAGTACCCAACAAAGCCTTGATTAACCAATTGAAAACATAAAGAAAGACGAGGAAAATGTTGCCAAAGTATTTGGGCCAACTACATGAATCCTCTTTTGCCTTCCTACTCTATTGTATACCATACTTTCTTTTAAACAATAGGCTATCATGTATTTCCTCAATGCCTCAACCTGTCAATTTTGGCATTTCCCTTGTCTTATCAACAACCACAACTGGCAATGCAACCTAGAGACGTAAGCTAATTGGATTGGTATGTTAAGATTTGGGGCTTCAGTACTTGTGGTTCCCCTGCTTTCTTTGGTATATAAATCTCATAAAACCAAGGTTGGTTCCTGTTCTTTTTTTCTTTTTACTCTTATTAAGAGAAAAGGAATCATAAAATCAGCAACACGTAAAAGTCGAATATACCTGTGGTACAATCTACTTAAGAGAACCAGATAAAAGTCCCAATTAAAGAGGACGATTTATTGTTTATCTTGATACATGACTGAATGGAACAAGACCCTCAAGTGAATTTGCAAACCAAAAAGAAGATCAAAGATAAAGGATTACTTTACAAAATTCATAATTATACTACAAAAGTGGTCAACAATGAGGATTGCAATACCTCATCTCCAATATCATTCATGTACATGTTCAACCATACTAAGCTCTTGGTTCTCTTGATATATTCAGCAACATGATAGGCACCTTTTGAGCTAATTGAATTGTTTCCAATGTCTAGGTGTTGAAGTCTCCCTAAAGAGCAGTTATGAATGTCAGATTAACTGCAACTTTTTGAAGCACAAATAATGACATTTGAAATGTCTTTACCAGAATGAAGTTCATACAAAGGCAAACCTTTATGTGAAGACAAACCAGACATAAGAGCGCGAACACCTTCATCTCCAATTGAATTTCCATGCAAAATGAGTTCCTGAACAAATAATTCAACAATAAATCTGACCTCCAATAGAATTTTCATGCAAAAAGCATTCCAGAATGTATAATTTATCAATAAATCCCACTAGTCATGAGAAGGGAACGACAAATTTATTTACTGTAAGCTCATAACTAGACAAGTTGTTTCTGTGGCACAAGCAGATCAGCAAGGGAAAATGTTGAAAAATGATAGCTTTAGTTAGTAAGACTGAGAAATACTGATGACAATTTCATGTTCTGTGACTGAAGAGAGTGCTTCCATCATCAATAAAATTTCAACATGATTTCTCAATTTTATGTTTCCAGAAATTACCATTAGTTTATCACTACGAACAGAAAGAGAAGAAAAATGCATACTGAATGCAAACTGTGGATAATGGAGGGTGGGTAAGCTGATTGTGAAGCCTTCTGGAAGAAATAGTAGGCACTGAGATGGCGAGAGATCACAGTGGTGGAAGGGGTGGGACTTGAAGCGGGAGAGAAGAGCACTGCAACTGCAAGCATAGAGGTAGGACCTCTTATTTATAGATAAATTAGACCATGGAGGCCAACTCACCTGAGTACACAATTAAACATGCTCAAGTGTGGACAAAAGGATCGGTGGCTCATCCTCTGTGGCCTAACATCTTGAAGGCAACAACTGCTATTGGAAATGGTGCTGAAAACTAGGGCTGATTAACGGATGCACCGACCCGCCCGGCCCGGCCCGGCACGAGCCCCTTTGGATGGATGCGTGACACGTGGAGGGCGAGTGCGGGGCCATTTTTTAAGCTTTTCCCGGGTTCGGTTCGGGTTGCAGTTGACCCGCCTCTTTACCCAATAAACCCAACCCGCCCATTTTTGTCCTTATATATATATATATTTTTATTTCCCCCCCTTCTTCTGATCTCACCACACTAACCTAACCTAATTCATTCATGATTCATCTTCTTCAATACTCTCTCTCTCTCCCCCCGCCCCTCTAGAACCCTACCCATACCGATGGCAACAACGATCAAGCGACGATCTACACTAAAAAAGCCATCGGCGATCGACGATTTGCCCCTTCTTTTTTGGATTTGTACGCCCTCATCAGCCCTTTTTTGAGAATCTCATATTAAAACCCTACCCCATTGGCATTCTTCGACCTGAAAGAGGATCAATGATCGTGGTGTGGTGGTGAGGTATTATTGTCTTCTCTTCTTCTTTCCTCTTCTTCTCTTAATTCTCCTCATTCTCTAATCTATTCGTTCTGTAAATTTTTTTTTTTTTTCGGACTTCGACAACCTCTGAAGTTCTTATTTTCTACAATCTGTTCGTAATCTATTATGTAATTTTTTTTTTGTTCTGCAATCTGTTCGTTCTTATTTTTCCTTTTTTTTTTTTTTTTTTTTTTTGTTCCAGTTTGTTGCAGTTCTGAAGTGAAACCAGTGGAAGAGAGAGGTTCTACACAGAGTAAGTTTCCTCTTTTCTTTCACTCTCCATACAACAATTTTTTGTATTATGCAACATTGAATCTGTTTGCAATCTGAAGAAGCTCACAGAGAGGGAAAAATGGTGTAACTGAATCTGTTTTTTGTTTTTTTTTTTGGTTTTTTTTTTTTAACAATGTCAAGTGGATAAACTGGAAAAAAATGGTGTAACTTTCCATTGTAGGCAATCTGTGTTGAATATTGAATTTGTTAACTGTGTTTGAATATTGAATTTGTAGATATATTTGTGAATAAAAATGGAAAAACTGAATGAAGCATGAGCTTATAATTATAGTTATTTTTATTTCTGGTTTTAATTATAATTATAGTTTTTGCTTAGCTTGATATTCATTATAGTTTTTGCTTAGAGGTTCTACACACAGTGTGAAGAAGCTTATAATTAAGTGGTGTTGAGAGTGTGAAGAAGCTTATAATTAAGTGGTGTTGAGATTGATTAGCTTGATATTCATTGTTGTATTTATTTTTTAACAGCTTAAATTGTTTAGAGAATTGGTGATTAAACATGGTCTCATAGCCCTAGTTCAAGGGGTCTTGGGTTTAATTTATGTCATTTAGTGCCCAAGATATTTTTAGGACTAAGGTTTGGCATGAAAATGAGGTTTTATTTTACTAGCATTTGAAAAATTAGAGCCTTTGGAGATATTCTTAGTGAGTCTTAAGTAACTAATTAAGTGACCTAATATTTATTCATATTTAACCTGTTTTTGAAAGAAAATCTGGTCAGTGGTCACATGTGAGGGAATATGTCGAGAATATAAATATTAAAATTACTCCTTCCTCTAACAATAAAACTGAATGAATTGCACATTATATGCCTAGTTTATCTTATTTCTCAATAGTTAAGCTTGGAGAGAATTGATAATCAAACAAACTTTATAACCAAGGGGTTTAATAGATTTTGATATGAAATTACAAGCCGAAAGTGACAGCAAATTTAAAGGGGTTATAACGTTTTCAATTGCAAGACACTCAGTTTGAAATTACTACACCTGATTCTGCTACCAATCTTGTCAATGCATGATCAATGTAACAAACTCAGTTACTAGATATAGAAGTCTGAATGAACTTTCAGTGTATAAAGTAGGCTTACTGAGTTAACATTGTATGAGTTGCTAAGTAGTTGCTAAGTAGTAATGTTTGACTTGTTATTCATTCTCTCTCCTGTTCTATGTTTGGTTTTTGGCAATTTATTTGATAATTTTTTGGTCATGGATCCTCCAAGTGGAAAAACATTTTTTGTTAATCCTAATGTTAAGCCTGAATCATCTTCTATTGACCCCTCTACCCAACCTATTGCTCCCCCTCCTAGACCACCCTTGGCCAAAAGTAGTAGTGGTGGGAGAACACAATCAAAGGCTTTGGGTCATTTTGAAAAGATTAGGGGTTGTTTGGGGCGTCCTAAATAAGTACACTTTTTATCTTTTTGGACTAAAAACTTGAGGAAAAAAATATGGATGTTTGGGTTAACTTTTTGACTTTTTATGAAAAAATGTGTCTTAAAAAATTGTATAAATTAGTGTGTAGGGGAAAATTAGAATTGGGAGTTGTGCAGCCGTAATTTTTGACTTTTGGTGAATAGTGATAACTTTTTAACTTTTTAGCTTTTTTCAGAGTTGCCAAACTTGGCCTAAGGGTATTGATGGGAAAGATAAGGCTCTGTGCAAGTATTGTAAGAAAGAATATATGGCAGGCTCTAAAAGTCATGGAACAAGTAATTTATTAACTTATTTGAAAAATTGTAGAAAGTATCCATACAGGGATACTCAAGGGCAACAAACATTAGAATTTAAACCAAAACAAGTTGGTGGGGAGGGTGGTGTTGATGTTGTGGCTACATCATTTTCTGTAGAAGTTGGTAGGAGGTATCTTGCCGAGATGATAGTAATTAATGAATTGCCCTTTAAATTTGTGGATAGGGTTGGTTTTAAAAGGTTTTGTAATGTTATGCAACCCAAGTTCAAGATCCCATCTCAACATACTGTTGGCAGGGAAATTATAGACATATACACTAATGAAAGAGAGAGGTTGAAGAAACTTGTGAAGGGGCGTAGAATTTGCTTTACCACAGGCACATGGACTTCCATACAAAATTTGTGTTACATGTGTCTAACAACACATTTCATTGATGATGCTTGGAAGTTATAAAAGAGGATCATTAATTTTTGTCAAGTTGAAGACCATAAAGGAAAAACTCTTGGGGAAAAAATTGAGGCACTTTTAAAAGAGTGGGACATTGATGGCCTTTTTACCTTAACTGTTGACAATGCGAGTTCTAATAATCTAACCATTGGATTCTTGAAACGAACCACAAAACTGTGGAAGGGAACTGTCTTGGGTCATGAGTTTTTACATATGCGTTGTTGTGCGCATATTCTAAATCTCATTGTTAGTGATGGATTGAAGGATCTTGAGTCTTGTATAGCAAATGTGAGGCATACAGTGAGATATGTGAGGTCTTCTCCAAACAGCCTTAACACTTTTAAAAAGTATGTGGAAAGTTTGAAAAATGATAGAGTAAGAGTCTCTTGTGCTTAGATGTGCCAACACGGTAGAATTCCACATATCTTACGTTGGAGGCGGCGGAAAAATTTGAGAGTACTTTTCAAAGAATGAGTGAGAAAGACTACAATTATAAACACTATTTTTTTAATAATGAAGGGGGTGAGAGGAGAGTGATGCCTACAACCGAGAATTGGGATAATTGCAGGGTATTTTTGAAATTTCTTAAAATGTTCTACAATATAACAAAGAGATTTTCTGAGTCTTCATTTGTTACTTCAAATATATTCTACACGGAAATTTTTGTCATTGAAAACATGATTGGACAATTAATCAAAGACAATGATCCTATTTTGTCTTTAATGGCAAAGAAAATGAAAGAGAAGTTTGACAAGTATTGGGGAAATGGAGATAAAATCAATCTCCTTTTGTATGTTGCGGTTGTGCTTGATCCTCGAAGGAAAATGACATACTTGCAATTTTATTTTTCAACAATTTTTGGTGGGGATGTGGTGAAAGTGAAAGAAATGTTAGACAAGGTGAAACATTGTTTGAGTCAATTGTATGATCATTATGCCACACTTGATTCAACAAATGTGCACGTCTCCGATGTAAATAAAACAATAGATATGGTGATAGATGAAAATGATCCACATTCTATTATGAACTCTCAATTTAACTCATTCTTGGAGGGACAATTTTGTAATAGTGGGAGTATGTTGGAATTGGACAAGTATTTGGAGGATATTGAGAAAGGTGGGAAAAATGCTCAATTTGATATCTTAGAGTGGTGGAAGACTATGAAGCACGGACACGGACACGGACACGGGATACAGTAATTTCCAAAAAATGAGGACACGGACACGGCGGGGGACACGGCAAAATTTTTTTTTTATAAATATTTTTATTTTAATACATATTAATTATTTAATTTATTTTTTAAATAATGTGTTTTTATTAATTTATTTTATTTTATTTTATATTATATGTGTATTTATTTTATTAAAATGTATAAGTATTTTTTTTATTAATATGTATAAATATATAAAATACAAAATATGTGTTATAATATAAATATTATATATTATATATATTATAAGTATCATATCTTATATGTTATAAGTTTTATATCTTATATGTTCTATACACTTATATGTATAAGATAAGACAGAGGAGGCCAAAAGGCGAGAGAGAGAGAGAGAGAGAGCGAAGGCGAAAAGGCGAGAGAGAGAGAGGGAGAGAGAGCGAGAAGACGAAAAGGCGAGAGACGCGATCTGGTCGAAGAGGCGATCGAGTGAGAGACGCGACTGGATGGAGGTCATCGACTGGTTCGACTAGTTTGAAGGTCATCGAAGTCGACTGGTTCGACTGGTTCAAAGGTCATCGAAGTTGATTTTTTTTCTAGGTCATCGAAGTCGACTGGTTCGAAGTCGCCGATCAGGATCCTCTCGCCGACCAGGTTTCCTTCTCTTCTCCTTTACTCTTCGTCTTCTCTTCTGTTTGTCCAGATTTGGACACACGTGTCCAGATTTGGTGGACACGCATGTCCCCGGCATGTCGCCGTGACTGACGCTGCCACGGCATCAAATTTGACGTGTCCATGCTTCATAGGCAGAAGGTTAATACAACAAAGTATAAAATATTATCACTTATAGCACGAGATGTGTTGGCAATGCCAATCTCCACTGTTGCTTCTGAGTCGGCTTTTAGCACAAGAGGTCGTATACTTGATCTATTTCGTAGTTCACTTGCTGCCAAGATGGTGGAGGTTCTTGTTTGTACACAAAATTGGCTTCAAAGTAACATTTCAATATGCCTTCGACAAGCAATGGATAATGTTGAAGAATTTGAACAACAATATGATTCGGATAATATATATATACAATGATTTATTTTGTTTTAAATTTCATTTATTTTGTATTATTCAAAATTCATTATCTTCACTTCACATATTTTTGTTGTATTATGTTTTATGTGTAGTTGTTTCGGAATCAAGTTCATGTTCAAGTCCAAATCCGAAGAGTAGTTATATTGAAGTTTAATATCATTAGTAAAATACTTTCCCTTTGTTATATTATGTTTACTTCACATGTTTTTGTTGTATTATTTACTTGTTTTAAGTTTAAAACTTTTTAGTGTTTTCCTTATTCAATAATTTCATTTTTTTGTTATGCAGGTTGGGCTCATGGCTCATGGTTTGTCTCAAAGAAATCAATGGCTTTATTGTTTCTTTTTAAGTTGTTTTGAAAATATGACTATTGGTTGGTACTTTCTTTGAATGACTATAATACTTTATTTTGGATGATTGTATTAAGACATTTTAAATTTTTTGGATGACTGTAATATTTTATTTTGGATGATTGTAATACTTTATTTTGGATAGTTGTATGTTGAAAATTTATGCTGCGTTGTTGCGCCCACTGTCCAAGTTGTTTGTTTGTTTGAATCTGAATCTGAGCAGGTTGTTTTTGTATATGCACACACTGTTTGTTTGTCTTTAGCGCGCACAGCACACACACAGTCTATTGGCGGATTGATCAGCCCTGTCTATTATTATGCATGCACAACACACCAATTATGTTTGTTTGTTTTTGTTGTATATGACTATATGTGTTTGTTTTGCCCACTGCAGTGTTTATGTATGCATTGCACATAAGTGGTGGTTGAGGAATTAAGTGCACATTTATTTAGTTATTTTTTTAGGAAGTGCACATGTTAAATTATGTGAAAAATTAGTAAAACTTTAAACCGCCAAACCAATTCGCATCCATCCGTCAATCCGCTCAATCCGCATCCGTCGGATTGGCTGACGAATGCGGATGGATTTTCTCCAATCCGGCGGACGGATGGTGGATTAAAGGTTCCGTGGCCGCAACCAACCCACGACCACCCCTACTGAAAACCTCAAAGGCCATAATGACTGATAAATGCCTAGTCAAGGTTCAAGTCCCTGAACAGAATGTGACGAGCACCTTCATGAACCCTCAATTATAGCTGTTGAGCCACATATCCAAGAGGTCTTGTACAAAGGTCAGGGGATCAATCAGATGCCCCATTACCATGACACCAACCTGGAGAAGATTTCTAGGCCCCCGCTCCCAATCTAGGATGACGTGAGAGCAACAGGGTGCCTTTCGAAGATTGCATTGGAGATAAAGGATAGAGGTGTAGGAGGGACATACTCGAGTAGAGGATTGCTCGACAAGGCCAGGGGTTACCAAGCATGTCATTGTGAGCATGAAAGGTGATGCACTTGAGTAGAGATTCACTTGGCCAGGATGAGGGATGCTTTAACCTCATCTAACCAATGAAGCACGGACACCTCTCCGGAAGTAGCGTATAGGTGTTGGACACGGACATGTGCCGGACACGCTGCAGACATGTATCGGACACGCTAGGACACTTTGGGCATGCTGCGGACACGTTGGGACACGCTAAGGACACTCAAGGGACATGCTAAGTACTATTTTTTTCAAAAAAAAATTAAAATTTTTAATTTTTTTACTAAAATAGAATACCTAAGATTGATAAATTTCATAAAATTAAATGTTAAACATAAAATACATATTAAATATTTTAAAATATACATATAATAAAAATATAAAAATATATGTTTTGAATGTGTCCCCAACGTGTCGTGTCCTACATTTTTTTGAAAATTAACGTGTTCACGTGTCTGTATCGTGTCACGTGTTCGTGTTCGTGTTCGTGTTCGTGTCCGTGTCCATACTTCTTAGCATCTAGCAGACTAACTGGTGCCTCTGAGATTGTCCCTCAACACCTAGGCTCAAGGCTAAGGCACTGTGTACATTAGATTTGTCAGGCGTGGCTCAACCTTACAGGGGAGCACATGAAGATTTCTGATTGGTTCACATGTCACCTTATGAGGCTGATATGTAGGTCCCAATTTCACAGAGATGATGTTGTGGAGAAACAGGAAATCTAGACCCACATACCAACATACACATAATAAAAGATATAATTGAAATTATATGACATAGAGAACTTTCCAACCATGATGATAATGCTTATGAGAATATTCAGATGATCCAAGGAGTTCATCGAGAGAAGCTTCATTAGATCGTGAAAAAGTGTAACAAATCCCATTGAGGGAAATAATTAGGGTATGTTTGGTTTGGTTTTGAGAGAGTAGTTTTTAAAAATTGTTTTGGGAAGAGAGTTTAAAATTTGCAAAGGTTGTGTATTTTGAAAGTAGTTTTGGAGTTTAGGAGTTTAGAATGATTTGATATTTTGTTGTAATTAAGTAGATGTGTGTGAGAGAAAAAGTGATTGAGAAGGAGAGAGGAGAGAGAAAAAGTGATTGATTGGTGTGTAAGAGAGAGATAGTGATTTTGAAAATTATTTTGGAAAAATTACAAACCAAGCAAGCTTTTTAAAAAAAATTTCCCAAAATCACTCTACAAAGCCAAACCAAACATACCCTTAATATCTCTCTTGACTACATATGGATATAAATGGTCTACAATAACATTGCTTTATATTGGAATAACTTAAATAAATTAAAGAAATGATGCCAAATTCTATGAAGTCACTGCAATATTTGCAACTATATGTTGTTAATGAAGAAACCATCTTCAATCTATCTATACTACTAAAGTAGAATTTTCAAATATTTATAGTCAAATGAAAACAAGAGATCAATTAGCACACCAAGCTTAAAGAGGTCACAAGGAACATCTATGTAATTAACTAATTAAGTTATCCTCTTATTAAGACTTAATTCAGCTTTAGCTTCCTTGATTTATGATATTTCTAGCTATAACTTAAGATACTTCTTGATACACTAGCTTTTTTCTCCAAAGAAAAATCCTCATTATAACATTCCCATTAGATGTATTTTACCAAGCTATAAGAACAGATTTTGCCCATCACGGTTACAAAGTAATCTGGAAAAATCTACGTGATACTTGAATTTTAATGCATGTAGAAAATAAAGACATGGGGAAAATATAAGTAAGAAATGTACCCTCAAAGATTTGTTTCTCTCCAGCCCTTTAGCCAGAGCAGCAGCCCCCAAAGCACCACCATAGTTGCCACTTAACAATAACAAAATGCCACATAAATACCACACACAAACAAACAAACAAAAGAGAGAGGAAGGAAAGCACACTGCTAGAAGCAGAATCATATGTTTTGGGAGAAATTGTGTACAATATACAATGCCAATTCACACATAAGGTAATCACATAGGTACACCAAAGATTGCATCATCATAGAAGTAGAAAGAAGATACAAATATAGAACTTTTACTCACTTTAAAGACAGAATCTGTATAGTATTATTTTCCAGGAGTGCTCCAGCAATACTTGTAAATCCCTACCTCCATTTCCAAAATACAAAACAAAGTAGAATCAATTATGCAAATTGAGCTAATTTTAGGTGAAGCTTGAATAACATAAATTAAAATAGTCAAATTTGATCTGCATACAGAATAATCAATGACATTATTATTAAGTTCAAGAACGCGTAAACTTGAATTTTTCTTCAGCATCTCAGCAATAGCCTTCGCTCCCTGCACAGAAAAGTGAGCTGATTATTGAAGGCACTACCAAAGAGGGACGTTTGGATAATCCTCAAAATTTTGAAGGAATGTGATTGTAAGCAGCAGAGTACTACTTCAATTCAAAAAGTAAACTAACCTCATCACCCAAGTTTGTGCTGTTCAGCTGGAGCTTCTGAATCCCAGCATTATCTACCAGTGTGTCACATAGGCACTGTGAAGAAGAAAACCTTATATTACAAAAATAAGCCTCAAAATGTAAGGACTTGGTACAGTCAAAACAATTGAGAGATGAGAGACAATACAATTGCCAGCTCAAGAGGAATTTTAAAGTGACCAATTTTATTTTTAGCCAATGATCATGTGAAGGGGTAGATGGAACGGACAACAAAAGTTGAAGATGGAGACTGAATTATCTTCTACGCTATTAAGCATGAATACTTTGAAAAATATGCCGTACCCGTACCCGTACCCGTACCAGGTACTTATCGGCATATGATATTTCGTATGGTGCTTCTGCTGGTACACGAAACACGTACTCAATTTTTTTTTTTTTTAATTTTTGGCGTATCCATACATACCTAATATATACCCAAGTCATACCATACCTCAGTCAAAATAATATTTTTTTTCTACTACAAAGACAAAATTCCTTTCACTAGACTTCTTTTTTATTTTTAGTTTTATGCTTGGCATGATTTCAAAATTAAGCTATGGTTTGTAAGTTATTTAATATAATAATATTTAATTTTGACTTATACCTTTATTTTTGGCATTAAATGTTAATTGTAGATTGAATCTTAACAAATTAAACTATTTAATCAATTTTTGCATTAATCCAAATTAAAAGTAAATATTTTTGTACAAACATACCAAGTCATACCCGTACCCTACTTTTTTTGGATTTTCCGTATCGACATACACGTATCGTACTAGTACCAATACTCGTACCCGTACCTGTGCTTCATAGCTTCTAAGTTTGCCTCAGCTAAATTATTATACCAAGACTACCACTAAGCAACTTCCTACTTGATGCACATTTGTTAGGGAAACTCATGAACCATGTAAATCCATCAACAGTAAAGGAAAAACTCTGGATCTAACCCACCCACAGAAAGTGTAAGATCTGTATCTTCCAAAATAATGTCTATTTGAAACCATGTGTTTAAATCCTTATCTAGATTGCCTAGAAAATCCCTCGGAAGTAGGATCTTACAATTTTGGTGGCTAGATTGTGGAATCCTGATTTGGATTCCAATCCTACGTGAAGCATTTTTATTATTATTATTTATATTTTTATGTTTGTGGCATAAATAGCAATTATACACCAAGTCCAAACCAAACAAAAATAAGTCACATTGAATCAAATATGCTGATAAAAACAAATTAGAGCAACTGACATTCAAACATTGCAGCAATTCAGCAAAATTTGAGAATTGAAAAGATATAGATGCAATTTGAGCATCTCATCTCCATTTCCATCTCCCTATCTAACCCACTCCATTTTCCAAATACGCTTCATCAACCATCTCTCCTTCATTGCATAGTAGATCATTCAATAACATTTCCCCCTTTCTTTTCTCCATTTAATCGAAAGACCAAGATCTATTTATTTCTTCTATTCTCTTCTTTTCTCTTTTTCTACTAATGTTCCATTCTAATTTTCTTCCTCTCAAATTTTTTTTTTTTTTTTCTTTTCATGTATCCTTTAACAATACATGGCGTTTATTTTCTTTTAAAGCGTATTCCAAAATTCGAAAACTCCGTTATTTATTTATTTATTTATTTATTACCATTTGTTTTATTTTCTGCTATCGCATAATATAATTTTTTATTTATAATCAATTTTAGGATCTTGATTTTGACAACCTTGCTTGAAACCCAAGGGTAGTGTTTCAGTTTAACAATCACCAAGCAAGCATCCACTCACCATAACTTCATAAGCATTTGAGGAAATTGTATGCACACAACTCAAGCAGCATGGCATCTGACAATAGATATGTTAAAATTTCAGTCACTTGTATTGATTAAAACGAACAATGCATTGAAGCTGACCTTAACTCCCTCGTCTCCAATGGGGTTTCCAGATAGATCAAGAGTATTCAGTACAATGTTTGATTGAAGAACACCATCGAAGGCTTTCAATCCAGTTGCAGTTATTCCATTAGCAGCAAAATTTACTTCCTCTGCAGTCTGGAAAACAACATTTAAGAATATGTTTGGTACATTTGTAAGGGAACCAAGACAATCTGAACTCTCACAACATAGATGGGAAGCAGACATACAAAATTTATTTTTTTTATAGGTAAATCTTTTTTTTTTTTAAAAAAAAAAAAAGCTGTCAAGGGGGCAGTGCCATATGGCCATATAAATATTTCTCCATTCGCACTTGTGCATAGCCCACCTGTACATGGCCCATATAGAATTCAGCTATTCAATGGTCTTAATAATATATATATATATTCTTACTGAAATTAATTGTCCAAAAAAATTACAAACAAATTAATAACAATAACATAAATGAAGTATCCATATTACTAACATCAAACAGGAGGGGGAAAAAATTTAAAAAGAAAAAGGCATAAAGAAAAAAAAAAAAAGAACCTGATTGTATGCCAAGCTCTCGGCAAGAAAAAATAGTCCTTCATCTCCAAAGTTAATACCTGCTAAAACCTTCTAGTATGGTCAACCCAAGCAGTTATTAGAAGACATGAACTTTTAAAACACATTACGGCCAGAAAGTAGCGATACTGCTTCGTATAAGTAGTAAAACATCTCACATGACAGTTTACTTCTCTGTTACCTGACATGTCAACACTTCGGAATGCTCTAAGTTCTTCGGCCAATTCATTGAGTCTTTGTCTGGACTCCCTCTCAACCTTTGCACCGAAACCTGATAATAAATTTGTGCCAGGAGAGAAGGACCACTTCATTCCTTGTGTAGAAGGTTTGTTTTCCAGAGACGAAGAACTTCGTGGTTTTGGAAGAAGGATTTTCTCCACCAATTTCCATAGAACTGTCACCTGAAGAAATAACTTAGTGCCCGCTGAGAATTTTTAATCTTTTCAGACAAGACACTTGTGCTTGCATTGACATAAAAAACAACCATTTTGCCACAGGCAATAACTGGGATGACAATGAATCAAAAATCTCCAGTGAAATGGAGTAGAAAATCAAGTTGATGGGTAGAAGCCAGTACAGACACACACTCGTAGAGGTGGAGCCACATGTAAATCAGTGGAGTCACGTGACCCCACCGGAATTCTAAAGAATAGTGGGGTGAAGTCACCATCTCTATCTAATATCTAAATTGGTAAGGTAGTTTCATAAAACATAAAGTAAGTTTCCAAGGATTTTTATTTATTTATTTTAAGGGGGGTTCCTAATAAAATTCAAAAAGCCCATTTATTTATTCTTTTTGTCTCTTGCATTTGAAGTTTCCCATTCTATTCCATGTCAATGGTGGTTATTAAAATGACCACAATCACCGTAGTGATCATCTTTCTTTCTTTATTATGAATACCAATAAAAAAAATAAAACAAAATTATTTTCTTCAAATGGATTCAATTAGTTCATACTTTCAATTGCTGGGTAGTAGAGAAAGGCAACGTATTAGTCTCATCAAATCAACTCTTCATTTACCATTTATAGTAGATTTGTTTCATGATTTTACTTTTTATACTTTTTTTCACTCATGTTAAATCTTTATTATGTGGTGAAGTTAATGTCAATGTAGAATTACTCACTAGTAGTTGTTGCTGACCCCATTGAGTGAAAATCCTAACTTTGCCACACACACACATGAAAAAAGGAGGATAGCAGCATGCTTAAGTAGACAACTTGCATTTCTTGACCAAAGTAAGACAAAAAATACTACAAGGAATTATCCCAAGGGAAGAAAGGAAGGAAGGGGCAAGGGGAGCCTAAAATGAAGTAATATTGTACAATGTCAAACAGCACACAATAACACAAGCAAGATGGTTACCGAGATAGAATCACTTATCATTTATATGTGTCATCCTTGCAAAGCATAAAATCATAGAAGAAATGGATAGAGATTTCTTAAAAATCAACCACTGATGTAGAAATATATGGCTAAAAGTCGTGAAATCTGTGGCAATATCACCACAAGACAATGAATTTTGTAAAAAGAATATTATCTATACGGATATCAATTGACACACTATAGTGGATATGAGCTCAAGGAATCTGAAGGCTATGACCCTCAAAGACTTTCTCCATTTCCTGAGTGTGGTTTCCACAATATTTTGGGTTGACAATTCAGCCAAATAGTCAAGCAACCAATAAAGCAGCATAAATGAGTTGTAGCTCCAATGAGGCTAATGGATTTCTCAAGCATATAAGCAAAACCTTAAAAATTCTATAAAACATCCTCTACAGTGAAGCAACATTCCTACATTGTGACCTCATTTGTAAGTGTGACAATTAAGCAAAGAAGAAGAAAAAAGTTTTCATTTCAATTATAATATTGGCCCATATTATTGTGTTCCCTTTTTCTACCCAACTCCCACAACAACATTGACATTGGCATCCCAATGCAAACTACATAATTGCAATATATTTTTAATCAATGACATATTAACCCAATTCACCCTGTAGTTTAAAAAATCCTTAATCTACTGAAAATCAATCAAAAAGGTATACTTCTTGTTCCTGATCATTCAGTTTCTCTACATTGAAAATGAAACAAAATTCAAGCTTCGGCATTGGCACGGGATTTAGAAATGCTTAGAAATAGAAACATGTAACTGCAAAAGTACTACCTTGTTTGGTGCAGCTTATGGTTTTTCTTATTTTGGAAATTTGAGCTAAAAGTGCTTCATGCATCATTAGTTTATGAGACAAAAATGGTTTACATTAACTAAAAAAAATTATTCTCTTGAAGTTGGAAAATTGATTCTTTTAGATTCTACTTACAGATTATCAGTTATCAGTTAGAATAAGTTTGCACCAAACAGAACCTATACATACAATACCTAAGTTGAATTCACCAGTAGCCACAATAAATAACCATTGAATTACAAAATTGAGGCGCTACAAACTCTTTCACCGTTCCTAAATCCTAAACCCTAAACCCGAAGGCTTCATTTGGTTCACTGGAATGAGTAAAAGTGGAATGGAATTATCATTCCTTGGGCTCTCATATGGAATAACCATTCCCGTGAAATGGTGAATGACAATTCCATTGGTAATGCATTTTGTCACTATTTTGTTAGTCAAACCAAACATGGGAATGAACATTTTGATGGAACAATCATTCTCATTCCATTTCATTCCAGTAAACCAAATACTACCTAAACTCTTTCACTGTTCTTGATCATTAAATTACTCAAAATTGCAAACACAAAACCAAACCAAACATAAATTTGTGAGATAGAAAATTGAAAATGTTATTAAAAGCGGCAAAAGCAATACCAAAAGTAATGGCAACAAAAGCTCCAGCTGGAACAATAAAGGAAGCAATCTCCTTTACAGGAAAAGAAGCTGCTTGGCTCTGAGACTGCTTGTAAACCCTCCGATTACTCGCCGGCCTTCGCGGACCACCGTCCGATCTTACAACTAAGCTTTTTGATCTCCAACACCTTCGTCTACTGATATATGGTGGAGTAGCAGGAAACAGCACCCCCGGCGCACAATAGTTCGTTGCGCCGCCCACAGCTTCGCGTGCGCGCTTCAGAGGCTGTGCAGGAAAGGAAATCTGAGGAATTAGAAACAACAATCAGCTTAGGGTTTCCGATATATGTATAAGTGTGTCAGTGTCTGTGTGTGTGTGTGTGTGTGTGAGAGAGAGAGAGAGAGAGAGAGAGTGTGTACTTTTGGATGAGAGTAGAGAGAGAGTGTGGAAGTAGAGCCCATAGGTAGAGAGACAGAGTGAAGTTAGAAGAGCATAGACTGGTTATCTTCAGAGACTAATTGGAGAGTTGCGGAGAAGAGGGAAGGAAGAAGATAGAGAAAACGGCGATTGATTCTTCGTCTAATTCTGAACAGGAATGGAGTAATGGGCTTCTCGGTTTTCAGACATGACATTGGGTTGGGCTGCTTTGGGATTTTTTTTGAACAAGCCCAGCCCAATTACTACAAGGCAAAATCACGGGGTTATTTGGATGATCTAAATAAATATGTTTTTTGAATTTTTATGAAAAATTTGTAGAAAAAATAGAGAGGTGATATGACTTAAAAAAGATAAAAAAATAAATAAGTGCACTTTTTTAGTGCATCCCAAATCACCTTTAACGCTCTGTTTGAGAATAGATTATTTTAGTTGACTTTTGACTATTTTAGTTTGACTGAAAATTTTTTGTTTGGAATGATAGTTTTTTTTTTTTTTTAGTTAATTTGATGGTTGTGAAATTATCTTATTAGCTATGTTAGTTTATTTTAGGGAAAATTAGTCTAAGGTCTCTCTTTCATTTTTAGTAATGGAAGAGATCCACAATATTATTTTTTGATGTCAAAGGTCCTAAATTCACACCCACATATCAGATCAGAGAAATTTGACTCTCTCTCTCACTCAAATCTTCATTCTATCCAAACCAAATCCTCTCTTATTGTGCGCATTCTGATCTTTTCCAAACCCTCTCTCTTTGTGTTACTTGAATATTCCTAAGCAGATCTGAAGAAAGTTTGAATAGCAGACTCATCGATCATCTTTACGTTCTCATCATCAAAGACCAACCGGTGGTCATGGCTTTTCACAAGGCTAACATAGTGCCCGTGGTTTGGCCCACCCCCAACATGAACAACGACAACAAATAAGGAGTGTTCAGAGTCGACATCTCTCTCTCTCTCTCTCTCTCTCTCAAGTTGCAGAAATGGTAGCTTCAGCCATCTCAACTCCACTAAGTTTCTCAATTGCTTCTCGCAATAGAGCTTCGCGTCTCTCATTTGCTTCTTATAGTTATTAAAATCTTTCTTTCCCTGCTAAATGTCTATACATAAAAGTAAAATTGTGAATTTATGGTTGGTTTGGTTTGTTTTCTTTTCTTGAATTTTGGCGTTTGTGATATTTCAATTATTGTTTTTACTCTTCAAAAGCAATCTTCTGTGCAGAAACTCAGCAAACCCAGTCCTTACGGTGATTCCTTAACAATTGGTAATTATTATTATTATTATTTTCTCAATTTAATTTTCTCGAATATTTAGTTTTCCATTGAAATACAACTCTGAAAGTCAAATTCGAGTTTAGAACTCTTTTCGCTGTCACAATTTCGATTTCACGCAACCATGCCTTAATCTGAGTGCACTCTTCCTAATTTTGAAACCATTCACATTTTTTTTTCTTCTCCTTTTTGGGTCTGTGATTTTCTTGTGAATTGTGCTTTTCAGCTAGTATACTTGGATTGTCACGTAAATCTTCATAATAGCTCCCACAAAGGCTAATTCGGAGTTTCATTTAGCTGCACCATCCAACAAGGTAAGAACTAATCCTAGTGGAATTTTGAAAATTTGAGACTTGTTTTCCATTTAGTAGCATCTACCAAAATTGACTGGGTAGGTATCTAGTTTGTTCAAATTTCTTTGGTTGTTCAAATTTCTCTGGTAGGCCTCTACTTTGTTCAAATTTCTCTGGTTGTTCAAATTTCTCTGATATTGGATTTTCTCTGCGTAAGAATTTCTCTGGTATTGGATTTCTCTAGTTGTTCAAATTTCTCTAATATTAGATTTCTCTGGTATAAGTAAACAACGTTAACTGAGTTAATTATTATTTTATCATCTTGCAATAGCTCATCTGATATTTACTGGACATTTTTAATTTTCCTTGAATTTCTGTGATTTGAATTTAGAGAAATTTCAATTTTCTCTAGTTTGGAGAGAATTTCTCTAGAACTAGAAATTCTCTGGTTCGGACCTCTTTTTCGTCTCCGTAAAACGCCATTGTCCTGCAGGTACACTGATGGCTTTGGGCCTGAGTTAGGGTTAGGATGAGAATAGATTGATATCAACGAAGAAATTGCATGCTTTGTTGAAGAGCTTGGGAGAGAATTGCTCGTTGAGAGATTGTTTGAAGATGATCAAGTCTGTTGAATTTCTCTGAGAAGTCCAGTCTAGAGAAATTTGGATTCCCAGAATTTCTCTAGAGTTGTGGCTGCGTTTTTTTTTTTTTTTTTTTTCTTCTTATTTCTTTCTTCAAGCTGTTGTTGACTTAAGTGAGATCATAGGTGGCTAGTTTGCAGTTGTTGTATCTGCTTGTTGTCCAGCTTATCATAGAAGGGTCAAATCGAGCTATTTGATGGGTGAAGTTGATACTGTTATTGCCTCATGCTACCTCTAGTTAATCATTTGTCTTGTTGTGCATTTGTATTGATGTTATCAAAGTGTTGTTGCTACTATGGCTTTCATGGGGCTACTACAGCTGTTTATTTGATGTAGAAAGAAGATGATGATGATGAAGGCCATCAAAGAATTTCTCTGGAGTGGTTTAAATTTTCTCTAGATGAGGTAAGAACAAAGTAGAGAAATTTTGAATTTCTCTGGAGTGGTTTGAATTTTCTCTGGATCGGGTAAGAACAAAGCAGAATTTTTTTGAAACTTTGTGAATGCACCTTGCAATAAGTGGCAAACGATTCTGCTGGTGGAGGCTCAGATGTGAATGTTACCAAATTGAATGTGGTGGAAATTGTGGAGACCAAATTTCGTAAAGCAAAAGAGAAAGGAGATGACACTGTGAGATGGTTGAGGACCTTTACATGGACGATACTTTGTTATTGTCTCTTGACTTGCCTAGTAAATTTCTTGCAAGTAATTTATATTATTTATTTTTCTTGTAAACAATTGAATGAGTTTTCTCTGACTTGTTAGTATTTTGTTCTGATCAATTTATTTATTTATTTTGTTCTTGTGAACCATGGAACACATTTTTGCCTGAGGTTTATGATTTTCAACCATAAAAGATTGTAAGGGGGAATTTCTCTGAGTTAGAGAGGGGGATTTTCTCTAGTTTGAGTGAATTTCTCTAGGTTGGAAGGGGATTTTCTCTAGGTTTGAGTGAATTTCTCTGGGGTGTAGAGGGAATTTCTCTGGTTTTGAAGAATTTCTCTGAGTTGAAGTGTCCAGAGAAATTTCAAAGACCAAAAACATAATTAAAAAGGAACTTGATAAATATGCAAAGAGTTGGTTAATTGTAGATTTGACTGAGTTGGGTTTTTGGGATTGATGGATGAATGGATAATGCAGAGAGTTGTAGAGACATTCAATAATTCAAGCCATTGTTTTAGGTTGTTGTTGTTTTTTTTTTTTTTTTGGGTGATGTAGAAAATTTCTCTGGTAATCCAGAGAAATTCTCTGGTGATGAGATTTTCTCTGTGAATATGTATCCAAGTCACTAAAGCCATTAAACTGCAGATAACAAAAATGAAGTAAACTCTTGTGTAGAATTTGAAATAAATTCAGGAAGTTACAAAGGCTGAAATCTGGACTTGAAGCTCAAATGATTAAATGGCTTGCTATGTTTCCAGGTATGTTTTCATTGTTTTAAGGGGTTTACAAGTGAATTTCTCTGGTTGGAGGGGATTTTCTCTGGGGTTGAAATGTCTCTTTTATAGAAACAAAAACTTAGGGTATGTTTGGTTTGGTTTGGTTTTGAGAAAGTAGTTTTTAAAAATTGTTTTGGGAAGAGAGTTTAAATTTTTTTTTGATTTGTTTGGTTGTGTATTTTGAAAGTAGTTTTGGAGTTTGGGAGTGTGGAATAATTTGATATTTTGTTGTAATTGAGTAGATAT